CAAATGCTCAAAATAGTGCGTGCCATACGCCACATCTGGAGTAAATTGAGCGCTGTCTGCAGGTGGTTCATCCCTCGATCACATCACATTATCCCCTACAAGTTCACTGATCAAGTGCCGATAGACTTTGCAGGACCTGGTGCGGGGATGACTCCATTGTCAAATAGATCCTGTACTTCATGGCGAAGACGGAAGCAGGCGTTGGTAGTATGGCCAGTTTGTTGATGGTACGCGCAGTACTGGGTAGTATCATGTGTAGCCGGAAGAGGGTTCGGGAGAGGTCGAGGCTCAAGGGGTTTGAGATGGCCTTGTCCAACAAGGATTTGGAGACCTTTGGTCAAAGGTATATAAAGGGCATGGAAGACCCTCTAACCTCGGGGTTGGTACTTCAAGGTTTGTGAATTTTTGCTGGACGCACCAGCAAAGGGATTGGCAGGTGCTGACTGAGTTTGCTGATCTCTTCCAAGCATGGGATTAGAGTTGAAAGGAACATTCCTGGTACAACGGCCCTTCTCCCGGCTTTCCCCTTAATTCAAACTACCCCTAACTTGAGTGGCGAAAGTGTCATCCACAGTTTTTGCAACAACTGCGAGGCCTTGCTCTTTGTTCAGTCCCACAGCTTTCAAAGCTTCAACAGCCAACAGAAGATGTTCATGGGGATCCATGCCCGCCCCTACCTTGTTCTTTCCACTCGCTTCCACTTTGCCAAGGGTTTGGCTTTCTTCAAATGCAGCCCGCCCCAAGATTGGGGAGCCTTTTGACATGAAATTCTTGGTATGTGGTGTGGCTGATGACGGAGCCAATATCCCAAAGGCTAAATTTGCCACAGTTCTTTGAAGATCTTCAATCATTCCCATCAACTCGGAAGTAGTGGGTTCACGGGTTTGAGATGATTGGGGTTCAGGTGCACCCATCATGCATAAGTCCATGCTTTCTGGGATAAACACCTCAGGCTTGGGTAGATGGGCCAGGGTGATGTATATGTTGGGGTCACAGGTGGATGGTAGTATATGGATGAGATTGAGGTGGACAGGAGATGTTTGGTCATTGGGGTCTGAAGGTGGAGCTATCGTCTTGTTGTCGATGAGATTTTGGACCTCAAGACGAAGGCGATAGCAATGGTTGATGCCATGACCGAGCTACTGATGGTACACACAGTACTTGGAGGGATTATGTCTAGCTGGGAGTGGGTTAGGTAGAGGTTGAGGATTGAGGGGTTTGATATACCCTCTTTCCATCAAGACTTTTAGTGCGCTAGTCAGGCTCATGTAGAGGGGAGTGAAAGTTCTGCCCTGAGCTCGGGCTGGGTCGGCGGTTTGTAGGCTTGGATTGGCAAAAGGGTCGGCTATGGCGATTGTATTGATTTTGGTGGGTTTGGGAATAGCGCTACTACCAGCATTGGTAGTCCCTACAAAAACCCTCTTTATCAGCTCACTTGTTCTGGGAATGATCCCACTATTGAACGCATCTTGATTTAAACCCCCAGTTCATGCAAACTTTTGAAAGTGAATAGCGGAGCGACTATCAAATTTTGCAACATATAATGCTCGAGGTTTCGCACCATCATCTTCACTTGATCCCTCTCAGAAGGGCGATCTGTCATCTGTGCTACCTTTGCTCTCCACCTTGCAACAAATTCCACAAAAGGCTCTGTTGGGTTCTGGCGGGTTGTTTCAAGCTCTTGCATGGTCATTTCAACTTGGGTATTGTAGAAATACTGATTGATAAAGCCCTCAGCCAGTTCTTCCTAGTTTTGCTTCACTTTATCCTCCAACCTAGCGTACCAAGTAGCTGCCACACCCGACAGGGTTCTTCCATATAGAGAGAGTTTCTGTGGCTTAGTTAGACCCATCGGTTTCAGGACATCCAAGAAAAACTAGATATGTACCATAGGATCTCCAGACCCGTTGAAACGGTCAATATGTGGCATTTTGAATCTGTTTGGGAGCTGTACGGCAGCCTCGGGGTATCCATCCTCAATGTCGGGAATGGAGTTAAGGCCCTGTGTCTTTTTGAATTGCTTCTCAAGGTTCGCAATTTTCACTACAGTCGGATTGAACTCATTAACATGAAAGGGTTGAAGCCTCTCAGTAGGCTGCACCAGGGGTGTGGAAACTCGAGCTTGAGTCAACCCTTCTTGGGGATCCAGACCATGTAAATCTTCAGCTGGCGGAGGTGGATCAAAGTTCGGCAGTGGTCCCGAGGCTGGATGTGCGGTAGATGCCCTAAATGGGCGCTGCGTTTCAATACTGGTCTCAGCCTGCATGGCAGTTCCCTGATTTAACGCTGCTATCACGGCCACAAATTCTTTCGAACCCTGTGCCATCACGGTCTGCTAAGTCTGAACAAAGGTGATGTGATTGGCGATTGACAGATCAGATGAACCGGTGAGCCCTGACTGGCCTTTCTTTGCCTTGCCTCACCGAAAGAGCACTGGTTATCCTTGAATTGAATCTTTAACCTGACAAAGTCTATCAGCACAAGTCCAATGAACCCGGGGGATATCGAAGCCTTTTGAAGCTATAGTTCCAGGACTACCCCTAGCAAAAGAGAAAACAAACAGCATCTCAGCCTGATTTCATCAAAACAGATAAGAGCAGTTGAATAACTGTGCTTTCTACTGAATTCTGTCCAAGATTCTGCCTGTAAACTGATACCCTTAGGTCTAACTGATTCCCCACATACTGATGCCCTCAAGCCTGATACCCAGACTTGCAAACTGATACACACAACCCTGCAGAGACACACTCTGACAGCACATAGCAGGCAAATGAGAGCCAAAACACCCCTATGTTGGGGTAGGATTTCCCTATTTTATTTTGTCAAGAGCTAGGGTTTCACTACGCACACAGTGGTTTCAAACAACCTATAATCGGGTAAGCAACCTATCCTAGCTTGGAATGGTCACTACGAATTTCGATATGCACTAGGTCAAATGGTCAAAAAGGGTGCCCCGGTAAAAACTGGGGTTTGTGTTCCTATCGTGGCAAAGCCCGTAACCGGTCAACCTTATGGCACGCTTCTCAAAGCGAGCCTCCGACAAACCTTTCAGGAATAGCAGATGGAAAACATGGTGTCCTGGGCGCACCAATGCACATGCAATGCAAATAAACACATAAGTGTAGTCAAAACAAGATATCATGAGTTTGAGTCAAGTTCTCTAAATCCGCAGCAGAGTCGCCAGAAACTATTGACGCGTCCGAACATCCCGGGAAAATCCCATTTTGTTCCTTGGGCTCACTACAGTTTGGACTCAATGTCACGGTCCTGTATCTAATCTTGCAGAGTGCAATGCAAGACCGATGAATCATCAAAGAGTCCAAATCCGGCAAATCGTTTTGAAATTTTGATTTTTAGAAAGAAGTGCCAAACATGGACTACTTTGCCAGATACAGAGTTGCCACCTAAATATTTTATTTTGGGGCAATTTAGGAAACCCTGACTCGTGCCTAAGGCCACGTGTCTGTCATCACCAAAGTTGCCTTGGCTCGGGAACTTGGGTACGATTGGGGAAGGTCACTTCGTGAGCACCCCCGCTCGCCCGATCAAAGATCGGCCTCTACTAACCATGATATCGAGTTTTGAAAACATTATGTGCTCTTATTCCGGTTATTAGCCTAGAATTACTATGTGATGCACACAATATACAAGTATAGACTGGATCGTTTCAGTTGGAACAAAACATTTCATGTTTGTTTATTTGAAAGATGGTTTGATGGTGCTACTCGCAAGTAGGCTAAGACGTGGATTTGCCACCCTCAAGTGGGCTTAAGAAAACATGATTGTGCCGCTCTCAAGTGGGCTTAAAACTCTCAATTGGTGAATTGTTCCAATTCAAATAATCCAACCTTCACCCACAGGCATTCAGGCAGGTATATCACATAAGCAGTTAGCCTCATGGCAAGCATGCTATCATGGCAGTCACTCACACGCATGCAAGGATGCTAAAGCATAATACTTACCGAGTACTCCAAGCCAAAGAAAGAAGCTAATTAGAAATCATGCATGAATCCTAACTATGCTGAAATGCCTAATGCAATACATGCAAAAATGCAACTAAGATAGGCTCGGCTATTCTAAAATGGCATATGACATGCAAGAACTGATACACGTATTCAACTCGGAATTGAAATAAAATACGGTTAGTATGATGTGCCAAGCCCGGTGCATGCAAGACAGATAAATGGATGCAAACATGCGAGCATAAGTATGCTAATTGAAACGTGCCCTAAGCTAACCATCATAAGCTGGTAAATAAAAGGGAGAAAGACGTGGGGTTGGAAGGCATGCATCACACACACACACACACTTATTACAACATTGCCCTCCTCGAAGGGTCCAAATGAATAGTACAGAACTGACTAGCTAATCTAAGCTAATTAAACTAATTATTACACAACATTAATTAATTAACGAATTAACTATGTAAGGAAACTGGCATGCAAATTAAACAAAATGGACTGCCTCAGCTCTGTTCCGAATGACAGGGATGCATGCATGCTCAAGTCGCCTTATCGGGAAATCCATCGCGATGCCCCGACTTGCCTCTGTTTGCAACTGGTCCCAGAACACTATACAAAGCCCCAGAAGGTTGCTAACCAATTTCTGCTGCTGGTTTCCGATTTGCTGCAACAGAGAGCGAGAAAGGGGCATGGCGGAGTATTTTCAACATATGTGTGAATGACCACTCTCCCCATCATTGCACAAGCTCCAGGGAGTGTAGTCCTCGATCCTCATGCCACCAATCATGCATCTCGATGCATGATGGCCGAGGAGTTGGATTGCATGACTCGATGTAAAATAAATGCACATATAAACACAATAAGGCCTAAACTCCATCATAGATAATCTGAAGAGTTGGTGACCGAAAATCGAGGCACGTTTCGTCACTTGGAGTACGAAACGTCCCTCGTTTCCCGTGTTTGGACTAAACCCTATTCTAAACACAATGCAATATACATGGCATACACAATACGACTAGCATGCAACCCTAAACGCAATGCAACCTAATCATGCTAGCATGCGAGGGATGATATGCAAACATGCAACTAATATACACAATGCTATGAACTAAGAATGGCATACTCAATGCACATGAACTATATGGCATACGCAATGTACATACGAAGATGGACATGCATGAAGACATGAACAAGGCATACACAATGAGACGATCAAGCATACGACAACATGGATATAGCATACATAATGCGAGATAGACTTAAACTAAAATGAATGGGCCTCAGCCACACTCAAATCAATGGCCACTGGGATGAAAATGAGACAACGAAAATACGTGCAAACATGCACAAATGCAAGGGACCAAACCTAAGGCACAAAGTGAAACTCTACCAAAGCATGGCAAGCATGAAATATGGCATACAATGACACAAGTTCCAGCTCTGAAATGGCATACAAGGCGGTCCCGAATCATGCAAACAACTCACCCGATGCTTGTTCGATGACTCAAGTACCGAAATTAGTGAAGTGCATTATAGTAGAGGTATGCAAAGCGATGCACAAATGACCAAACCAACCCAAAACAGTCCTTATGCAGGCCCAAACCAGTAGGAAAATGGACATAAATGGTGGCTCAAAAGGCACAGAAATGAAGCTCATGCAATGGTCCATAAATGAGGCATACTGTAGACACCCCATTTTTGACCGTCCTCAAGACTTGGACGTCACCGTTTGAACACTCGGTGATTATCCATGTTTGTGTTCGTTTGGAGTTCCCGGAGGCCTCGGCTCGCGTGCTTTGCCTCAGGATCTCCGAACTCGACCGTTTAGTGTCTGGTTTTGCACCAAACACTCGCTTCTGGCCCTTGAGAGGCAAGGTGGGGCTTGTAGACCATCCCCACCCACCACCGGCAGTGGCTAGAGGCCACCGGCAATTTACATTGCCGGCCGGCACTGTTTGTTGCCGGTCAGCACTATTTAGTGCCGGCCGACACTCTTTTTGGCCAAGATGGCATTTTTGGCCGGCCGATTACTGTGCATCTGCTTTTGCAGATATTTTAAGACAGCTGTCTTGCTTTTGCATCCCTCCATACACGTGTATGGAGGGATCTCCCTCTTATGAAGCTTGTCTTGTAAGCTTTACAAGACAAGAAGCTTCTATATAGAGGAGGTCTCTCTCTTGTTGCAAGGGTTGGGAGATTTTAGACATTGGAGGGAGAGAAAAATACAGACCAAGCTCTGGTTTTAGGGTTAGGATTAGATACACATCCTATCTCTCTTTTTTTCCCTCTTGTGTGTGCAAAATAGTGTTTAGTTCATACTATTGCACACAAACACCTAGTGTTTTACCTTCCTTTGGCTCTTGAGGTTCTAAGGGACTAGTTTTGAAGTTTTGGTGCTGGATCCAAGCTAAAGGAGGCCATTGGAGCACCATTTGTGAAGAAGGCTTCAAGGGTGAGAATCTAGTTCCATTTTCCCCCATTTTTGCATTGATTTTCTACCTATCTTAGAGCTGTTTTTGTGCTTATTGTATAACATAAAAAGTTCTTTTTTTAAGCCCTCTTTACTGTTTATTAAGAGTGTTTTGTTGTTTGAGGGTGGTTGACCCCCCTTAGGCCTTGAATGGCCTCATTTTGGGCCATTTTGTGCTAGCTCCGGGATTTTGGTGTTGGGGTCTCTTCACCACTGAAATCTTGAGGGATTTCAGTGGTGAAGATGATGCCTTGAAGTCCCAAGAAGGAGAGGGCCACCCCCTCTCCTTGTTGTCCTTGAAAAGGACATATTTTGGCCTCTTAAGGAAGCCTATGCTTGAGTGTGTGTTGAGCATGTTTGGTTTGTTTTTCATGCTTATATATCCATAATATAACATGATTTCAAGTTGGTTTTGGAACCTTATGCATGTTTAGCATAGTTGCCATGTAATGCCTTGTTATCGCCTCAATGTGCCTTAGGTTGTTAGCCTTTGAAATTGTGAAATATGTGTTAGGATAGATAGATAAGCCAGTGAAAGCCATACTGGAAATCATAGCTCTGATAAAGTCAAGATGGATGGCATGTCAAGTCCAACATTTCACCTGAGCAATTTGAACACTGCTGATACGCAGACCAAACCCTTTTACATATGCCTTCAGTGTCAGCCTCAACTCCCCACAAGACAATGTAGCCAATCCATTTAAAATCCAACTTCTATCCAGAATATTTGAAAGAAATGCCAATACAAGTTTTTTATGACTCCTATTAAATTGAGGAACTGAATTGCTGCTTCTCTTTCATTTCCTTTCACTTTTTCCTTTTCATTCTTCTACAGTATACCTCAACCAAAAAACAATTCATTTGAAACGTCTTTTTGGACAAATATACCTGGCATCTCATCATGGTGCAAAATTGTCTTCAAAACAGTTCCCTGTCAACAATTCTGTTGAAGAGGTCAAGAATGATCAACAGTTTGCAGTTAAACATTTGCATAAATTATCCTATTCTTGTTCAAATATCACCAATAATCCCTACAGGAACATATCCCATCCCTAAAATGGTGAAATCGTTTTGAATCTCTGACTACAATTTCATGGTTAACAATCTTGGAAATCAACCTAATAGCAGTGTGACAGTCACTACAAACCCTGAGGTTCTTAATGATCTGAACCGTTGTGCCAGGAACTGTACTCATTATTCCAAAGGCAACAGCCAACTTTTCACTATGAACTCGCAGTGTCATTTCCTTCTCTTCCTCATCAACATCATGAAGAACTGATGTCATATTGGGAACATAACCAATTTCCTGCATCTTCAGAGTTAATTCTTCCAAGTATTTGTATATCTTCTCATGCTGAGGATGCTCTCTATCTCCAACCAAAAATACATGAACCCCACCTTTAACTTCAACCAAACTGAACCCAGGTGGTTTAACCAGTCCATGATTCTTCATTAATATTCTCATCCTTTCCACATCTTTCCACCTTCCAACATCAGCATATATGTTAGAAAGCAAGACATAGTACCCACAATTACTTGAGTCTATTTGAAACAATTTCCTCGCAGAAATCTCTGCAAGCTCCACGTTCTTGTGGATTCTACATGCAGCAAGAAGAGAACCCCAAACCACAAAATCAGGTCTCACCTTCATTTCTTTGATCAAATCATAAGCCTCCTTAAGAAATCCAGCACGCCCAAGCAGATCGATCATGCACCCATAATGCTCCACCCCGGGCTCTATACCAAATTTGTGTTCCATGGTTCTAAACCAATGCCAGCCTTCATCCAATAGACCAGCATGGCTACAAGCTGCTAGAACAGACACAAAAGTTATATAATTAGGTATGACCCTGGCGCTAATCATCTCATAGAAGACTTCCAAAGCTTCTCTGGCACATCCATGCATGCCATAACCAGCAACCATAGCAGTCCATGATTTCACATTCTTCTCCTTCATGCGGTCAAATGCTCTCCTTGCCATCCCTACTCTCCCACATTTGCAATACATGTCGACAACAGAAGTGCCCACAAAAACATTCTCCTCCAAACCCATCTTTATGACCTATAAAAGAGAAAAGGACATGGCAAAATTAAATAACTTTTACAAAATTGAGATCATTAAGCAGGGGCGACACCAGCTAATTGCTGATTGTGGCCCCATCCCCCACCAAGCAAACAAAAGTTTAAAAAAATAATTTATCTGTATTGTTAATATTTTATTTTATATAATTTGCTTCTTATAAAAAATTAGGGACCCCATCAAATAAGAAAAAATGTTCAATAGAAAAGTCAAATGTAGTTATATTCTGGGAGTGTGGTTCACCCTTGACAAGTAGGTTTATTGTTGGTAGGTAATACCATATGTCAATAGTGACATGGTATCACCATAACATTGAATTTTTACTCTATTTAGTAAATAATTTTCAAAAACAGTTTTT